TTCAATCTTCTGCATGTGGTCAGCCAGTTTTCCCAGCACCATTTACTGAATAGGTTCTCCTCTCCCCAGTGGTAGGTGGTGGAGGCCTTGTTGAAGATGAGTTGGTTGAGAAATTGAGGTTTTGCTTCTGGAATCTCAATTCTATTCCATTGATCTATATGCCTATTCCTATACCAATACCAAGCTGTTTTGATGATTGTAGCTTTATAGTAAAGTTTGGTGTCTGGTAACGTGATACCACCTGCTTTGTTTTTTTTGCTGAGGATTGTTCTGGCTATTCTTGGACATTTGAGTTTCCATATGAATTCCTGTGTTGTCTTTTCTAGGTCTGAGAAGAATATTGCTGGTAATTTGATGGGTATTGCATTGAATTTGTAGATTGCCTTAGGTAAGATGGACATCTTCACAATGTTGATTCTTCCAATCCATGAGCATGGGATATTTTTCCACTTGTTTGTGTCATCTTTGATTTCTTTGAGCAGTGTTTTGTAATTTTCATTGTAAAGGTCTTTCACATCTCTGGTTAGGAAGATGCCAAGGTATTTCATTTTTTTGGTGATGATTGTGAATGGAATTTTGTTTTTTATTTGGGTTTCTGTTTGTTTATTATTGGTGTAGAGAAATGTCATTGTCTTTTGTACATTTATTTTGTGTCCTGAGACTTTGCCAAAGGCCTTTATCAGTGTAAGGGGGTTTTTGACAGATTCTCTTGAGTTTTCAAGGTACACAATCATATCATCTGCAAAGAGAGATAACTTGACCTCCTCTTTTCCTATTTGGATACCCCTGATTGCCTCCTCTTCTCTGATTGCTTGAGCCAGGACTTCCAATACTATATTGAACAGGAGGGGTGAGAGTGGGCATATTTGTCTTGTTCCAGTTTTCAGGGGAAATGGTTCCAGTTTTTGTCCATTTAGGAGTATGCTGGCTGTGGGTTTCTCGTAGATGCCTTTTACTATTTTGAGGTATGTTCCCCATATGCCTAGATGTTCAAGGGTTTTTATCAAGAAGGGGTGCTGGATTGTATCAAAAGCTTTTTCTGCATCTAATGATATAATCATGTGGTTTTTGTTTTGACATCTGTTGATGTATTTAATTACATTTATGGTTTTACGAATGTTGAACTAGCCTTGCATCCCAGGAATGAAGCCTACTTGGTCATGATGGATGATTTTTGAGATGTATTGCTGAATCCGGTTTGCTAGGATCTTGTTGAGAATTTTAGCATCTATGTTCATCAAAGATATTGACCTGTCGTTCTCTTTCTTTGTTGGATCTTTACCAGGCTTGGGTATCAATGTGATGTTGGCTTTGTAAAGTGATTTGGGGAGAGTTCCATCTTTTTCAATCACCTGGAATACCTTCAGTAGGATTGGAATCAGCTCCTCCTTAAATGTCTTGTAGAAGTCTGCTGAAAAGCCATCTGGACCAGGGCTTTTTTTTTTTGTAGGAAGTTTTCTTATTATGTAGTTGATTTCCTTGATTGTTATTGGTCTATTTAGGGTCTCAATTTCTTCTTGTTCCAACCTAGGTAGGTTGTGTGATGTCAGAAAGTCCTCCATTTCCTTATGGTTTTCAAGTTTGTTTCCATACAAGTGTACGTAGTAGTCTCTAATGATCTTTTGTATTTCTTCAGAGTCAGATGTGACTTCATCTTTTGTGTTTCTGATTGTGCTTATTTGATTTTGTTCCTCATTTTTTCTTGGTCAGTCTAGCTAGGGGACCATCGATCTTGTTTATCCTTTCGAAGAACCAGCTTTTTGTTTCATTGATTTTTTGTATTATCTTTTTGTCTTCTATGTCATGGATTTGGGCTTTTATTTTGGTGATCTGGATTCTTCTGTTGAAATTAGGGTTTTTGTGGTCTTGCTTTTCCAGCTTCTTTAGGTGGCTTGTTAGGTTGTTAATTTGTGTTCCTTCCATTTTCTTCATGTGTGTTTGTAGGAATATAAAGTCCCCTCTTACTACAGCTTTCAAGGCATCCCAGAGATTTTGGTAAGATGTTTCTTCATTTTCATTTGTTTCCAGGTATCTTTTGATCTCTGTTTTGATTTCATCATTGACCCAGGAGTTGTTTAGCATCATGCTGTTTAGTGTCCATGTCTTTGTGGGTTTTGGGGGGACTTTCTTGGTGTCAATGTTTATTTTTATTCCACTGTTGTCCAAGAAGGTGCATGGTAGAATTTTGGTACTTTTAAATTTGTTTATGCTTGATTTATGGCCAATTATGTGGTCGATCTTAGAATACATTCCATGCGGTGATGAGTAGAATGTATATTCTGTGGTCTCTGGATGGAATGTTCTGTAGGTATCAATTAAGTCCATTTGGTCCAAAGTCACATTGAGGTTCCGGATCTCCTTACTCATTTTTTGTCCTGATGATCTGTCTAGGGTTGTGAGTGGGGTATTAAAGTTCCCAGTTATGATGGTGTTAGAGTCAATATCTTTCTTTAGTTTTCCTAGAAGTTGCTTTATGAAAGTTGGCGCACCTATGTTGGGTGCATATATGTTTAGGATAGATATTTCTTGTTGATGGATCGAGCCTTTTATCATTATGTAGTGGTCTTCTGTATCTTTTTTGATTTTTAGTAGGTTGAAGGGTATTTTGTCTGAAATTAACATCACTACTCCTCCTTTCTTTTGTATTCTCGTCACCTGAAAGTTTGTTTCCCATCTTCTTACTTTGAGTCTGTGGGTGTCCTTTCTAGTGAGGTGAGTCTCTTGAAGGCAATAGATTGTTGCCTGATGATATTTTATCCATTTTGCCATTCTATGTCTTTTCAGTGGTGCATTTAGTTCATTCACATTTAGGCTAATAATTGAAATGCAAGAGTTGATCCCTCTCATAAGGTTCTTATAGAGTTTTTCCTATTTGTTTGTTGTCTTTCTTTGGGTTCTGGCGTTGGCTCATGTGTGTTTTTAATCTTTCGCCTGTACTCTTGTGAAGAATGCTGTTGTTCTTTTTTCTTTTTCTTCTGTGTTCAATACTTTCTTAAGTGTTTCTTGTAGAGGTGGTCTGGTGGCAGCGTAGGTTGTTAGGGATTGGATATCTGGAAAAGATTTCAATTCTTCCTCACTAATGAAGCTTAGTTTGGCTGTGTAGGTTATTCTTGGTTGAAATTGTTTATCTTTTAGAACTTTGAAGATAGGGCTCCAGGCTCTCCTAGCCTGAAGGGTTTCTGTGGATAAATCTGCTGCTATTCTAATTGGTCTTCCCTGGTAGGTAGTCAGGCCTTTTTCTCTTGCTGCCTTTAGGATTTTTTCTTTTATAGCTACTTTGTTTAGGCGAATTATTATGTGTCTGGAAGTTGGTCTTCTCATTTGTTGTCTTGCAGGGGTTCTCTGAATCTCTTGTGTTTGAATTTTTTCATCCTTAATGAGATGAGGGAAGTTTTCTTGAATGATTTCATGAAATGTTTGTTCCAGTGTGGCTTCTGTTTCTCTCTCTGCCTCAGGAGGCCAAATTATTCTTAGGTTTGGTCTCTTGAAGTGATCATTCATCTCTTGCAGGTTTTTTTCTGTCTTTTTGAGCTTCTTTTCTATGCTTTTGACAGTTTGTGTTAGTTCTGTGTTTTGGTCTTCGAGCTCTGAGATTCTTTCTTCTGCCTGGCTAATTCTGCTTTCCATGCTTATTAGTCTGTTATTCATTTCCATCACAGTATTCTTTACTGCTGTTATTTCTGACATCAGCTCCTTCCTATTTTCCTCTTGTCTCTCCTCAATTTTTTTAATTCTCTCCATTAATGTCTTGATGTCTGGGTTTGTTGCATGTGACCAGTCATTCTGGGGGCTCTTCATTGTTTGTGTTCCAGAATCTGTTTTCTCAGTGTCTGATCTCCCAGGGGTCTGTGTGAGACCTATATTCTTCTTTTGGTTTTTCTTCATTTGTGCGGTGTTTCCCCCCTTCCTACTTTTTCCTTCCCTCCACATCACCGTCTTCCTTAATTCTGTTATTCAGGAGTAAAGGAATTGGTTTTAATTCTGTTTGTTCAATCTCCTATTCTTTATGTATGCCCTCCTACTTTGTTCAATTTTGGAGTTGCACTGTAGGTTGGGGGTGGTCCTTTTTGTAGTTTTGAGATTTACTTAAGGGGGAAGCTGTGATTCAAAATCTATCTGCAGGTCCTGGTATTCGCTGACAGATGTGTGGATAATCTGGAACCCACTTCCCACTGCCTTGGAATCTGTCCGTGCAATGGGACTGTAGGTTTACTCCCTGAAATAAAATGTGGTTAGCAGAGGGAAGAGAATGCAGCAGACAGTGGGTTGAAGAAGGGGGGTGGGGAGATAGAGGAGTAAGGGGGGAAACAAACGTGTGCCAACAAATGGAGAGAGAGACCTATACTGGAACAGATAAAAACAATAGACCACAGCTACTGACCAACCAACTCCCATACAAAAAAATAAAAAATAAAACATATATTGATGCTAACATACAAGCTAACCAACCACCTTATTGGTGTGCTGTTCCTCTATACAAAGATATCGTTTACAGAGAGAAGAAAAGGAAGAGAGGGAAAAAAGAAAGGAACAAACAGAAGGAATAGAATTAAATCATTAAACTAACAGAATCAATGAAGCACACTCTGAGACTTTTCATTTAAGTCCAATGTCCTTTCAGTTCTGATTTCTAGCTTTCTTTTCAAGCTGGTCAATTAGTTTGCAGTTAGGGTCAGTTGCCCCTGGTCTGCTGTGAAGGACAGTTCAGATCACTGTTCACACTCTGGCCTATGTCTGATTCAAGCTTGTTTCTCCCATTTCGGTGTTGTTACCTTGAATCACCAGCAGGTGGTGCTATCTCAGCTGCTCACCCCAGAGTGGGTGGGGCCAGACAGGAACTGGCAAGACTGGAGATGAATGCCTGCCTCAGGGCACAGGCAGGAGACTCATGGTGGGCAACACATCTTGGTCGCAGGAGAGGTGGCAGCAATCCCATTAAATCTTCCCTGAAGGGGCTTCAAGGACTGAAGTCGTGGATCGCCTCCAGCCCAGGTGGTGCGATGTGCTACCGGCAGCGGCTGTGGCGGCTGTGGCAGCGGCGTCTGCGCTGCAGTGGCTGTCCAGTCCACTGCGATGCCCCAGCAGTGGCAACGGCCGAACTCCGTATGAAGAGCAGGTTGCGATTTGGGGGTCCACAGCCCCCCGGGGCGAGAGTCAGAGACCCACTGCAGTTCTCCTTTGCAGAGAGTTTCACATACCAGGTTGCCCCATTGCCATCTTGCCAGAAGTCCCATATTTGTTCTTAAAGCTATCATACCATGTTGAATATATTACATAAAATGAGAACATCAGAATTATTCCGAGTGCTACTTGCTGCTTAATACCTAGAAGAATGACCCTGAATTGTAAACTCTCAAGGCTGGATTTTGGGAGCCATATAGTCCATCCTCTTTGATATAGACATGGACAAATGTTAGCTTCGAGCCCCAATAGTACAGGCTAAGGTAAACACACGATAGTAAACCCTTAACAGGACCATACCTGAGAGGATGCTAACAGAAGATCATTTTTTAAATAGAATAAGCATATAGGCTATACCATTATGCATTTTTCAAAATAAATTTTAAATATTTTGTTTAATTATGTAGAGAAGTATTCATCATATGAATTTCAACAAACAAAAAAATGAAGGAGTGGGATAGGGATGAAGATGACAATCTACAGAGTCAGAGAAAATGTGTTTTAATTTGAGTTTAAATGCATTGGCAAATTTGCTTAAGAACTCAGTCTTAATTCCCTCATCTCTAAAATCTAAAAGGACGAAAACTATATCTTCCACACTAATTCCTCCTACTATCAAGCAGAGTAAGTTGGATACTACTCATAAAATACTTAAAACACCATGGGTTAATTAATAAACAGTCAAGAAAGGAACTTTGATGAAAGAGGATGGGGAGTCAAGGAGGAGAATAAGAAGAATCAAAGTAAGGAGGAAGAGAAAAAGTAAAAATTTAATATAATTTGTTTGCAAAAATTTGGTAACATAGCAACCGAAGAAAAGCTGTTTAAAAACACACCAACATACTGACACTAGTTGAGTGGTGAGATTATGACTATTTTTCTATATAGACTAGATATTCTATATTTTTCATAAAGTACACATTTACTTGTTTTAAAATCAGAAAAAAATGGCCAGGCGAGGTGACTTAAGTCTTTAATCCCAGGACTTTGGGAGGCCAAGGTGAGAGGATTTCCTAAGCTAAGGGGTTCCAGACCAGCGTGGGCAACTTGGTGAGACCTTGTCTCTACAATAAATTAAAAATAAATAAATAAGCCAGACATGGCAGCACACGCCTGTAGTTCTAGTCACTTGGAAGGCTGAGGCAGAAGTTTCATCTGAGTCCAGCAGGTCAAGGCTGTGGTGGCTGTGAGCATGCCACTGCACTCCAGCCTGGGCTGCAGAGGAGACTCCAACTCAAAAATGAAACTAAAAAATAAAATCAGAAGAAACCATTTTTAAAGCCAAGTAAATTCAATACTGCTTTACATTTTAATGTAGTTGTAAGGTACTGATTAATTCCCACATATTACAGCCAAAGTTTAATGATTGTTAATATATTCTCAGTAATATTTAGATTTAGTGTCATAGAGGTAAATCATTCAGTCAGGTGAGTGAGCTCCAATCTTTTAAAAAAAGTTGATAAATGTTTGATAGAATTTTCCTTTTTCAACTTGATAATCATTATATTTTTAAACCAAGGTTATTTCAATTTCCTTTTTGAACATGGTATTATTGGAAAGTGGCTGTTTTCTTGAAACAAAGCATTTTGTGCAGCAATGTTTACAATTAGCAAATGTTTGTTGCTCATAAATATGAATTACTGAATTAGACACTTTTAAAATTAAGTCATATAACAAAAGAAAATCCTGGAAAAAATGTATTTAAAGAGCTATAAAAGCAATTTTTCCGTTTGTTTAAAATGACAGGTGTTTATTAAAATTTTATAATTAATTTACAGGACAATTTAAAATTTTTCTCTTAAGCTTTGTAAGGGAAAATGTCAAATCTGACTTTTTCCCTTTAACTGTTAGTCAGCTTAATTTATTTATAAATTCATTTTTCTAGAAACGTTAACTGAATGTGACAGTTTTAGTTTACAGAAAATTGTTTTTGATTTACTATTTTTGTTTTGGAAATCTCTGCGTAATAAACCACTGGAAATTATAGTTTATATTGAAGAAAATAAGATAAACAGAAATTTTAATTTAAAATGACAACAGGGTAAAAATCTAGCAAATGAGAAAAAAGTCCACCATTTTTTAATTTATTCAAGTAAATTTCAAATGAACACGTTGGGCAAGAAATATAATCTTTGTAAAACTTACAATATATAGCTACAACAGAAGAGTTAAACCCAAATTTTACTAAAGGCATCTTTAGAAATATGTTAGGGTTCACACTATTGTATTTATTTTTTATAAAGATTACATTAAAAATACTAAGACTTTGTTAATTCTTTGTTTTTACAAGATGACATTGGAGAAGCTGTGTAGAGCATATTGACTGTGCTCTTTTCCAGAACGCTTGTTGAGTCATATCTCTAGATACCGTGACTTTTTGCACATACTCAATTTCAGCAAATTTTTTTAATATTAAATTGGTTTTGCATAAAAATTACAAGGATTTTTTAAAAAATGATGTATTGTAAAAAAATTATCCATCTCCAAAATGCAGTTTAATTTTCAGAAATCTTTCTCCTGTGTAAAATCAAACATTCATGTACAGCTATTTCTGTATAACAAGCTACCCTGAAACTCAGTAGGTTAAAACAACCACAATATTATTTCACATATGAAGGTTGGCAAGACAGTTCTTAGCTTGCTGCTGAAAAGACTCCTGTGTCTCTAATTAGTTGGAGGTTGACTGGGTGGCTTTGCTGATCTTAGCTGAGCTCTGCCACATGTCTGCCTGTCTGCTGATCTGAGATGACCTCACCTGTGACAAGAAAGCTATGCTGTACATGTCTCATCCTCCACCAGTCTGGACTAGGCATGTTGTTATGGTGAAAACGAAAGAGCAAAATGTTCAAGCCCTTTTGAGGACTATATTTGGAAGAAGAATGCCATCACTTTAACAGCATTCTATCGGTCCAAGCAAGTCAAAGGCCAACCCAGATTTCAAAAGGAGGGAAATAGACACCACCTCTTCATGAGAGGAGCAGAAATGCCACATTGCAAAAGACATGGATTCAAGAAAGGAAGAAATATTTGACCCAATTTTGCAGTTTATCTACATTTAGAGCAGCTATTCCTAGACAACGTGGCTCCCTTGCAAAGTAAGATCTCCAAACAAGAATAGCTTGTAAATAATGCCAATGTTGATCTTTCATTAAAAATGCTAACTACATCTAAACATCAGTCTAAATATTAGTGTAAAACATATGGTCAAAATTTCTCAAAATTAGACGTGATGTTTAAAAACTCAAAAACAAAAGACCATCAGACATTTGCCTAAACTCCTTTAGGTGGTAAATCAAATCAGTACTCTGTGATGTGACCTCTCAACCCTCTCGTCTCATCATCTCCCATCCTTTTACGTATCCTATTTTCCAAAAACTGGCTTATCACAGTTCCTTGAATAGTGCATACATTTTTGTCTGATCCTTAGAATCTAAATTTCCCTCTGCTTGTCATTCTTTTTCCCTTTTTACTTCTACCTGTTGATTTTCTATTTAATCTTGTAATTTCAGCTCAGGGATTTCCACTCTGTTATTCTCTCCAGTGAAGCTGATATCTCTTTTATTTGTGCCAGCACCGTGGTTACAACACCACAACACAATGTTATACTTATATTTGCTTAAATGCATACTTCATTGTTACACTGTGACAAAAGCTCTGAAAACAGTGACAATATCTTTTTTTATCTTTTATCTTCACATTTACCCAGGACAATATGAAACATGTAAAAAATATTGATTAAATTTAGTTGAGTAATTTAGCTATTTCCCTCCTTTGACACATAAGGAAAATAAGCAATGTGCTAAGTAATTTATCAGCTGGTGAAAACTAGAACTGTAATTTAAATAAAAGCTTATTTGCACCCTCCCCCAGATGCTGCATTCTTTATTGTATAACCAAACTGAAACTCTCATGGAAGACTTTCAAGTAAGCAACTGGTATATTTGAGTGCATCACTCAAGAATTGGTTGTACTAAATGCACTAGTTAAACTTTTTCTTCTGTTTGTTACTACCTAATTCAATTTTCACCAACTTTAATCATTACTTTTTTATATTTTGATTTCTATATACTAGGTTTTTCTTGGAGGAGATTGCTTTCCTGTTTTAAATTAATTAATGTTGTGAACTTAATTCACATTAAGTGAATCCTGCATTTAAAAATTTGATAGGGTGAATTAGAACAGTATTTACTTTAGTTATTGAATATGCTGGGCATACCGGAGTTTTTAGAAGTTAATAAAACTCCTAATGTCAAGTGATATAGCAATAGGATTTTAGGACCTTGAATTTTCCCAATGAATATATATAGAGAGCTATCACTGTATTATTATCTTTCCATTATAAATTCAACCTATAATTAGGAGCAATTTTATTTGTAGGTTATATAACTATATTTGACCTTCAGAAACAAGGGAAAGAAAAAAATAAGTTATCGATACTTTATTGAAAGAGATTGTGAAAAGTCAGTCACAAGTAAAATTCATCTACCCCGGTACTGAATGGCATTATAGTAAAAAAAATCCCAGTTTAAAAAACAGTTACAAAGCAGACAACGATTAAGAGATATGTAGACTGCCTGCCTAAGTACACATTTGTATCTAGCACTGTGTGACCTTAGTCAAGTTGCTTGTATTCTCTGTGCCTCCGTTTTGTCATCTCTAAAATGAGAATTATTTTATATTAAATTTTATTTTATTATAGAGATGAGGGTACAAGTAAGGATTAATTACATAAGTAGGCTGCATACAGGTGAGCATTGGGCTTCTAACTGGCCTTCACTCCCCCAGTATAGGACCAGTTACTCGTTATGTTGTCATGTGCTCCTCTCGCTTCAACCTCCCTCCCTCCCTTCCCTAGTAGTGCCCAGCAACTGCCAATCCCTCCCTTGTGTTAATGTGATTAATGTTCAGGTTCCACTTATGAG